TACAATTGCCATTGTTTTTTAAAGCAGAAAATGTTCCTAAATTCCTGTGGCTAATGAAAATGATCTTTGAGGGACTCGCGTGAGACTTTTTTTTTTTATTTAGTGGGAAGCTGGAGACATTCACAGAGAAGCTTTGGTAGTTGGCTGAGGCTCATTGACATTATGGAGGCAAAATTGAAATGCTTATAGGCCTGACTCTAGCATCTTAGCTTTAAGCTGCTGTAACATGACACAATGTCCTCCACAAGGAAAAATGAACAGTTAGTTGGAAGGAGTTGCCATGTGTGTTTAAAGGAGGAACATTCTTGTAACAAGACCAAGGGAATCCTAGGTCAGGAAATATGTCCCAGGGGATGAGGACATTCTGCGGGCTGGGTGGGCCACGCATGATGTTAACATTTCCTACTCAAGTTCAAGCTCATTGCTGTTGAGTTGAAACTGACTCATGGCCGACCCTTCAGCAGGTCTTCTGAGGCTGTAAATCACACGGGAAGAGATTGCTTTTCTTCTCCCACGGAGCTGCTGCTGGGTTCAAGCTGCCTGAGAGGCGCCACCTTTAGGTCAGAAGTGCAGCTGCCTCCAGCATACACCACCAGAGCGCCCTAACTTTGCCTGCAGCTGAGAGAAACACCACTTCTTCCTTTCTATTTTTATTTCTTCATATCCTGAGCTAAACCCCCGCTGACCCTTCCTTAGTTATTAGAACTCATTAGACCACTCTTTTCCCCAAGCCTCGGTCTACATATCTATAAAATTAGAGGATTGGATTAATTGATCTCAGAAATAACTTTCAGCTCTGTGGTTCTATTGTTATGGGATAATAATAATTTGGCACTTTCCTCCCATGGGCTTCTTCTGGAGATAATCAGAAACTCACTATACATGAAACCCCGCATTAACACACAGGATAGTGTTCCCCTCTCTGGTTTTGCACAATATCTTTCAGAGACTCTGAAGTTTTCTATAAGGAATTTGTTTTGGTAAGGCAGTGCTTTCAGACCCCGGATTATTTGAGACCCCTGTAGCTCTAGAACAAAAGGATCCCAGGGTTTTCTACTGGCTGGCAAAGGCTGCAGTCTAAGGACAGAACTGGAGTGGAGAAGGACAGAGAGGAGTTTGCTGGGAAGATAATTCAGCTGGTTCAGGATACTGCCTTTCCTCCTGGGAGATGCAGGCCTGTGCTGATGCTGCGTTGTCTCAACAAGCACGGGAGCTAATCTAGGAGTTCTGGTGGCTCAGTGATTAAAACTCGTGGCTGTTAACTGAAAGACTAAAAATTTGAGCCCACCAACCTCTTGGTGGCATAGTCTGTAGGGAATTGCACTACTAACCCACAGGTCATACCTCCTTGACAGTTTTAATCCACCCTGAGTCTCCTATTCCATTTACAGCCTCAGAAATCAATGGAGAGTTATCTACCTCAGTTCTCACTCGACAGCAGTGAGTGAAATTGAGAGTCATTCTATAAAAGAAAAATGCAGCTTGCTTCCCAGATTACAGCCTATGGGGCGGGTCTGCTCTGTTTTACAAGGTCATTTTGAGTTGGAATCATCCCAAGGGCAGTGAGAAAACTGATCTAGTATCAGAAATTCACAGACCAGTGGGGCAGGTTGGTTGAAGTGTGTGAGGATCTGCCTGTAGGTGCCCAAGAGAAGAGAAGTGTTGCCAGGTGGTAATGTGTGACCAGCAGAGCCCAGTTTTTCATCTTTTCAGACTCCAGGCAGTTGCTCAGATGCTTGCTTTGTTGACAGAGCAAGTGAGGCAGCACTACCCCTCTGCCAGTGGGCAAATGCAACCCAAGTCCCTCTGATAAGCTTAGTCAGCTGGGAGATGGGATATTAATTCCTCACACCTCTCCTCTCTGCCTGGGGAGCCTGCCTTACTGGGTTTCACTTTTCAAAGGTTGACAAAGATTCAGGAATTTCATAGTCCTTTAAATGAGACAGACGCTCCTCACTCCCTTCAAACCCATTTTGTTTCTAAGCTTAGTGGGTTCCTTGAAGATATAATTGATCAGGGATTTCTGGTCATTGTTAAACAAAAGCAACTAATTTCAGAGGCTCCCTCAGAAGGCTCCTCTCTTCCAGCCTACAGGTTTAAAGTTGATGTATTGACTTACTCTTGCTGAAGTGCTAAAAAGTTAAGCCAGTGATACATTTTAAACAACTTCTTTTAGAGGATATAATTTACATGCCTTAAAATGCATTCATTGGTAGTATACAATGCATTGACTTCCCCCTTCTTTTCCCATTTCTCCTCACCCCATCTATCATGTTTTTATTACATATCTTTATTGGTTTACACACAATCATTCACTGGATCATTTGGCAGCATCAGGATGGATGGTGAAGAGATTGAGATTGTTAACAACTTTAGTTTGCTTGGCTCCATGGTCAACCCTCTTGGCACCAGTAGCCAGGAAATTAAAAAAAAACATATTGTGATGAGAAAGTCTGCTGTTAGGGACCTCTCCAGGGTACTGAAGAGCAGTGGTGTCACTCTGGATCCTAAGGTGTGCCTGATACAGGCTATGGTCTTTGCAATCACTTGTTATGCATCAGAGAGTTGGACAATGAATAGGGAGGATAGAAGGAGAATTGATGCCTTTGAGCTGTGGTGCTGGAGAAGAGTATTGAATGTACCATGGACTGCCAAGAAAACAGATTCATCCTGGAGAGGGTTAAACCAAGCTGCTCCTTGGAGGCAAGGATTCTGGGGCTTTGTCTGACATACTTTGGACATGTTGTAAGGAGGGACAGGCCCTTGGAGAGGGACATCATGCTTGGGAGGGTGGAGAGATGGTGTAGGAGGGGAAGACCCTCTATGAGGTGGATTGACTCAGTGACTCAGGTAATCAGGATGAGTGTGTCAGGGGCAGTGCTATTGGCACAGGATGGAGCACAGTTTAGGGCTGTTGTACATAGATAGGGTTGCTATGAGTCATAAGCGATTCGATGGCACATAACAACAACAACAGCAACATGCATTTACGTTGTACTTTATAGTCTTCCATTTACATTGCATTTTGGTCGTGTAAATTGCGTTTTCCCCTTGTAGTCTTCTTATTAATAACTATATTGTTAAAGCATGGAAGCCAGCTACTTCATGCCTCATGCTGTAAGATTCCTATTTTTTTAATTTAAAATTAATTAAATTAATAAATTAATGAACATTTACAGAGACTTTCAATTTCTATTTCTTGATTGTTGCTCTTTTCTATTTTTGAGAGCCAATTTCTAACATACCCTGCCCTATTAAACTAGTACTCCGAGGGAACAAGTATATCCCTTTTGCTGAGGAATCTTTTGTTCCATTTGGAAACTTTGAGCAACTGCATCCATGAGCAAAGTCCAGTCCAGAGCAAGTTAACTGGTTACATCAGTCAACACTAGCTCACAGCATAGATCATCTTCTCTTCATCTGGTTGGGTTCTGGTCAACTCATCCCCAGTCTTCTGTGGCTAGGTCCAAATGGGCATCAGCCACAAACTCAGGAATACACACATATCCCTGTGTTCCAGACCTGTTGGTCCTTTCACTCAGCCTGAGCCCCCATCTGAGGCCAAGTCAAGCCAGGAGTCCTCAAGACTCCCTGCTCCTCAACTCAGCCATCCTTTTCCCCTTATTTATATACCTGTGCTTGCTAGGTGGACAGTGCTGAAGGAACACATCCAAGCTCAGCCTGCCTCTTCGTTGTTGTATGCCTCCTACTTCCACCCCAGTGAATCCAAGAGAGCAGACTTGCAGCTCCCTTTAGCTTCAAATCCTGGGAGTGGGCTCTGATTGAAACCAACTCAACTCTGCCTCAGAAGCCAAACAGTGTGTTCAAGTTTTAAAAAGTCATTCTTTCTCCTCCATATCTTTGTCTCTTTTTGTGCTTGCCTTTCTTTCAGATATGAATTTGTACAATAAAAAAAATCCAAGGTGAATCTACAAATCCATTCAAATGCATATCTCCTCAGAGTACTGAATGGGACTTAATCTTTCCCTTGGACTAAGCCCTAGCACCTATCACCAAATCTGCTGTCAATCAGTATCTCTAAGCTTCTCTCTCTAGTCTGTCTTATTCTGAAGTCTGCTGAAATCTGTTTCACATCATAGAAGCGTACAAACTTCCACTAATGAATGGGGGTGGAGGAACAGGAGATACATTGGCCAGAATAGAACTTGGGTCTCCCACATTGCAGTATAGAATTTGGCCACTGTGAATGCTGTGAATTAAAATGGTCAGATCCATGCTGGGTCAAGTGGATAACGCAGGACCAGAGAGAATTTTGTTTTATTTTTATCCATAAGGTAGGAGGCAATATCAACAACATATGTCTGGAGCCTGTGCTAAGATCTATACTTGAAACTGTGACTGAGCCTTGAACCTCTACTCTGTTTCATGGATGCCCTGCCTTTATACAGCTTAGAAGAAGATCTATATAAGTAGATTATGAAAAATTAAAGTGGAAGATATCAAGTTGAAAGAGCTTGCCAAGGAATGTGTGCTCACCAGCCCAGTGCTGTGGAGCTCAGGAGCACTTACTGGGTGAATGAGCATTAACCACGTAAAGGTTAAGAGGAGAATCTTTCAGGAAAATGAAATTGGTTTGAGGACTGAGTGGAGGGTAGAAAAACAGATCTATATAAGCAATTCCAATATATTTAGGGAAATGACTATCTTAGTGGCTGAGCATTCAAATAATGGGTTCAGGGAGGCTGTGGGAAAGGAAGCTAAAGAAAGAGGCCAAGGAAGCATCAGAAAGGGTCTGGCAGAGTCCGGAGGACGTTCGGAGGAGTATTGTGAGCAGATGGGTCCTTTGGAAAGTTCTCTTCACCAGACTAAAAGAAGAAGGTGGAAACAGGACCTATGGGCCTTATAAAAGCCATGTTAGGACTCAGTGTTTCTATAGTCTACCTTGGCCTTGAACTTTAGCTTTGTCTCATTGGGTCCCAACAGGATGAGTGATTTGTCTGTGTACCTGAACATCATCTGTGTCCTCTTCTATCTGGCAGGTGTTATATCACCCTCACCCAGTCTCTGCACTTGACCATGAGCGGGGCTCCCGCAGGACCTGCTGGCACAGGCAAGACAGAGACCACCAAGGACCTGGGACGAGCACTGGGCATCATGGTCTACGTGTTCAACTGCTCGGAGCAAATGGACTACAAGGTACAAGCAGACCCAGCTTGGGAGGGTCTAGGAACAGGTTGGGAGCCCTCACCAGGGCCACGGCTTATCCACTCACCCTGGACCATCTCTGCTGGGCGCCTGAGCCCAGACAAGGAAGCATGCTGCTTCACAGTGGACCTGTTGACATCCCTTAAATCTTCTCTGGTGTGACCGGGAGGCACAGCACTGTGCTGTCTGTTTCTCTGCGCTGTAAGAGGGAGTTACTTCATCTTTTCAGTCTTCATTTTGTTATTTGCAAAATGAAAAAACCAAACACATCTAAAATCCTAAGTTCTATGTTTGACTTACAATGACAGAAAAGATCTTGAGTTTCTAGTAAAAAGATGCACGTCTTTCCACAGTGCCATATTTGTTCTGTCTTATAACCTGGTGTGAATGGTTGTTAACATGGTTACCTACTAACTATGGGAGGTTTGCGTCTACTCTGAAGTACCTCAGAAAAAAGGTCTGGTGACCTACTGAAAAACCCCAAAGCTCATTCTAACCTGACACACATGGATTTTCCATGAGTTAGAATTTATCTGATGGTGATTGGCTATCAGGCTGGGCATCCCCAGAATATGTGAGGGGCAGGTATGACTCTTGAACATAGATTTGATTTCCCCCAAAATCACAGCAATGTTGTTGGTGGTGGTGGTGCCATTAAGTTCACTCCAACTCCTAAAACCACTATGAACAACAGAGATCAGGACCTTTCGCTACCCTGCACCATCCTCATGTTCTCTAATATCCTCGAGCCCATTGCTACAGTCACTGTGTCAATGTGTTGGAGGTCTTCATCTCTTTCCCTTACTTTCCACCTTTCCAAGCATGTTCTATTTTTCCGAAGACTAGTCCCTCATGTCCAAGGGATCTCCTCAAATGCAGATGCAAGGTAAGTCCTGTTCATTCGTTCGGTCATCATTTTGCACAAAGCTGTAGTCCACACAGAGAAAAGCAAGAGAAACAAAAGCTCAGTTGATCAGTTCTTAGAAACATTCCGCTCACAAGGAAGCCTTAACAGGATTCAGGGGGCCAAACCCACATGATAACAGATTGCCTCACTTTCTTCTTATTTTGTATTGTTTCATTATATATATTTTATATACCATCTCAAGTCCCTATTGAAAACAGATGAAATAAAAATAAATTTTGAGTGGAAAAATTATTTTAAAAAGTAAAATGTTTTCATTTAGAAATCATGTGGTATATTGAGTTTTAAATAAATACATTTTCTTTAAAAATCATTTTAACAATTTAAAGGAAACTTTTGAAATTATATGAGACTCTCTTTAAAGAAGAATATTTTCTTGTATGGCCAATGAAAGTTTATATAACAATTGTTACTCATTGAACTATTTCTACACAAATTGTTCTGTGAGACTGGTTCTGTTCGTCATAATGCTTGAACATTCTCATCATTTCTGTTGGGGCTGCTCTGATTACATATAGGACTCCTTAAATGAGATTGGTCTCCTTTAACTGTAGTAACTTCTCTTGCATGTAATTTTCTTGTGCAAAGAGTTGCAGAATTTGGTGGCTCTATCTTTTCTTCTAACAAGTGAACAAAAGGAATGATTATGTGTGTGTGTGTGTGTATGTCTATATATATGTATGTGTATATATATGTATACATATGAGTGTATGTGTGTGTATATATAGATACATATATATACATGTATACATATATATACATATATATATAAATATAATAAATATAATTGTCTATCCAATTGTCCCCATCTTCTAAATTCTAGGCCAGTAGCTTCTATTAACAAACGCATTAAGACAATATTTCTCTATCAGTATGACAAAGCATCTAACCCCACATTAAAGAAATAAACTTACACTTAAGAATTATTCTAAGCCTTTGAGTTCTTTCATAGTTAAGCAATTGTTGTTATTGTTGTTAGGTGCAGTCAAGTCAAGCATGATTCATAGCAACTGAACCTTGTCCTATCCTGTGCCATTGTCACAATCTCTGGCACACTTGAGCCTATTGCCACAGTCACTGTGTCAATGCACCTGGTCAAGGGTCTTCAATAGTGACATTTTTAAGAAATAATCATGGTCTTCTAAGAGGAATGCTCTGGGGGGGGGTCACAATCTTTACATGTGTCGCACATGAAGTAGTAATTGGGGGTGGGGGGAATCAGCTGGATTTTCTTTGAAGATATGCCTTGCAAAGGACAGGAAGAGATGAGCTGGCCCTGTGGCCAGGGGTCAATAAAACTCTATTCATTGTCCTGCTATTCAGAATGACTTTTTTAATATATTAAAACATTCAACTATTGAGGTAATTTATTATCACCGGTGTTCAGCATGTCTTGTGTGTTGTGAGGATGTGTTCTATAAACACATCCTCGCACACACACACCCATACTTAGAAGCAGACACACACATAGTAAGGGATAGCCAGATCTTAGGAGAGGAACACATAATTAGAGGAGATGCCTGAAGCGGAACAGCGTGTGTGGGTGCGCTCTGCAGGCTTGTCAGTGTTTCAGAAAGGTGAAATGCCCAGGAGTGCCCTGATCTGGAAAGATGTGTGAAGGGTGTTTATGTAGTGTCAAACCAGACACACTTCATTTTAACACAGCCTAACCCAGTAACATGACAGCTTTAGAAACACAGCCAAGTTCAATGTACAGAGCTATCCCTCCCAGCCCCTCATCCCAACCTCACCTCAGCTCTTGTCACAGGGCCTGACTGAGACAAGGAGGGGAATGGAGTGAGGGTCAGGAAGACTTCTTGTGTGCTGTCTAGTCCAAGTGTCATTTTGATATATCACCCATTACTCTCACAGCAGCATGTTCTGGTCCCATTCCTCCAGATGATGAAACACTAGAAATAAATACAGAGCACAGCACATACTGCCAGGGCTGTGTTAGGGTGTCAGGAACAGCTGAGAGGAAGACAAGAGGTTAATAAGGAGATGAAGGATCAAAAACCACCAAGAGGTAGTTACCTCCCTTAAAGCAGGGAAGTAATGCAAGGCCCTGACTGGTATACTCTGGCCAGTAGTCTCTTTGGGGACTAGGAGATGGAAATGAATTAGAGGTGCATTGTTAAGTCAGGTACTGTTGGTAATTTCAAGCTTCCTAGAAATGGGAGCACTAAAGGATGATTCCCTGAACAGCGTGAGTTGGAAGAAGGCTGGGAGCCAGACTAGGGAAAAGCAGGAATGGAAAAAGTCTCAACAAGTTTGAAAAGTGTTACCAAGGGAGGTGGTGGATGGGTGAGGCAAGCAGAGACCCTAGATGATCCTTCTTCCTCTGAGTTCTGCAAGGAGAGGGGAGGAGGAAAATCATCCCTTAAACACCATGCATATTTGGCATGGAGAAGGGATGGAACAGGACTTGAGCACACTGTGGAGAATTGCTGAGAAATAAAAGTTACTGCTTTTTTTCTATTGGTGCTGATTGGAAAGCACATAAAGCTGGCCACTTTCTCCAGAAATGGCTGCAGTTTTAGTGTCCAGGAGGTTTTTTATAGCATAGCAACAATGCTTTCCCCTTTTGACCTCAATTTGAAGAGCCTCTTACTGATGCATCAAATGTGTTTGAACTTGAAAGTATTTGGACTTTTTTTTTACTGTTTATTAATTTATTTTGCTTCTCTTGTTGAGAATATACAAGCGAAGCATCCATGGCATCAACACTGTAGAATACTCATGCTTTCTTGACAGCTTATTTTCTTGGTTTCTGAAACATTACATAAAGGATGGGGCAATCTCTTTCTGTGTAATTAACTGCCTCCGAAAACCCACCAGAGGGTCAGCTATGGATTGGTTCTGATTCAATGGTACACAACAATACCAGCACACACACACACACACACACACACACACACACACACACACATGTTGTTAAGTACCATCAAGTCAGAACTGACCCATATAGCTGACCCTCCAGCAGGTTTTCAGAGGCAATAATAGCGCAGGAGGAGATTATAACAGTAGAGCTCTCAAGAGCACCTTGTCTCACTCCCCTCTGAATTCTGTAACATTTACAATCAACATTATCCATTGCAAATACTGCTCATATTGCAGTGTACCTGCTCTAGTTTTTTTATCTGTTCTCCACAGCCTAACTATGAGTTCCTAGCTTTATGTGTCTAGCATTATGTTATGCACAGACCCAATGTTCAAAATATGTTCACTGCATAAATGAATGAGACTTTTCCATTATTTGAAGACTTTCCCAGCATTTTAATGATAACTTCTTGCCGCTGGCCTTGAGGGTCTCTGCCAGCATCCTGTCCTTTTGTACTGCACCTTGGTTTACTCATTCAATTTGAATGTCCAGAACAGTTTTCCTTTTCCAGACCTACATACTTCCTTCTCATTGGAATTCTTCCCTTGTTTTTATGTAGTTTATTTTCTATAGATGGTGCCACCTCCTACCCTAATCCCTAGCTGCCTGTCACTCTGGTAGACCTATGTTGTTGGGCATGGATTAAGGGCACAGATGTGAACTCTTCCATCAGCACATGTCGTAGACTGAATGGGAGATTTTTGTCTGTGTGGTATAAGAAAAGTCATCTTTTATTCATATCCTGGGACTTTGAAAGCTAGAGAATCAACAGTCATGCAACCCTGATGACATTTTAAAGGGATTTTAGTCCAACCGTCTGGGAAAGGTCCTGTTTGATCCTGATGGCACTCCATAGCCATCAAAAATTTAATTGTTCTGAAAATTTTATTACAAGTCTCTTTGGGGACTGGAGATGGAAAATGAATTAGGTGTGCATTGTTAAGTCATGTGCTGTTGGTTATTTCATCTCTGCACCTTTTCTTGCAGTCCTGTGGCAACATCTACAAAGGTCTCGCCCAGTCTGGTGCCTGGGGCTGTTTCGATGAATTTAACAGAATCTCCGTGGAGGTCTTGTCGGTGGTAGCCGTGCAGGTATGGGGGACAGAAGCGGCGAGAGAATCATAGCCTTGCCGCCTGGCCCTGGAAAAAACGACATCCTCTTATTTCCTTCTTCTCCTTGGCCCCCATTTCCCTGTACTTTTCTCCTTGTAATTTTATGCCCTTTCCTCCACTGTCTAGATCAGAGCTTGGTGGGGGTTCTTCTCATATATGGGTATCCTGTGTGTTCTCTAAAGCCCCCATGCCACCACGATGGATCTGTTATGAGCTGAGAAACTCCACTTCCTTCTCTAATAAGTACAGATACTTGGTCGTAGCCAAAAGGTAGAGAAGTGATTGCACCCCCTTCTCTGTTAAAGGGGAATAAAGAATATCTGTCTAATTTGCATCAGTAAAAAAGAAGACAATTGCCATCAAGTCACCTGTGTCCCCTGACTACCCCGTGTGTGTCTCAGCACAAACTTTACCATAGGGTTTCAGGGATTGTCTTTTCAGAAGTAGACAATGAGACTGAGATGTATCCCGTGGACTAGAACCTCCAACCCTTCCATTAACGGCAGGTGTTACCTGCTGACACCTTCCAGGGACTGACTCCACCTGCTTCACAGTGCTGTGGAAAGGCTCATCCCAGACGTCTGAGCCCAGCTCCCTGCTAAGGCTATGGACTTTGGGAGCACTAAGACCAGGCCTTAGATTTTAGCCCCTTCCGTTCCTCTCACTGAGATAGTTTGCATGAAGTCATTTTTTTGGTCAGCAGTTATGTACCTGTGCCACTCGTCTTTTAAGCCATCCGGAGAGCCTTTACTAACCCCCTGCAGTGTAGTAAACATCGTGCAGGGGACCCAGGACATAGGACAGATCAGTGTTGGACAGATCAGTGTTATAGATTGTTCTGTAAAATAGTTATAGACATGATGTAATATCATCAATGTTATTGAAGGGCTTTGAATTCTGACATAGTACACAGAAGGGCTTCCAAATATGATACCTTGAAAATAATCCTTAAGATGATGGAGAGGATTTGAATTTGGGTAAAGATTCCAAAGACAGTGAGAGCAACAGAAAGATGGGTGGGGGGAACATTGAGCAAACGCTTATTGAAAGTCTGTTTTGTACCAGTCTATTTTCATATATTGTGTATTTTTATGATAGCCACCATTGCTGTTGTTACGTGCCATCGAGTTGCCTGTGATTCATAATGACCCTATGTACAATAGCCCCAGACCCTGCTCTATGCCAATCTTATTATCTCTGACACACCTACCCTCATTACTCCAGTCATTGAACCAATCCATCTCATTGAGGATTGTCCTGTGCTGTCCCTCTACCCTTCCAAGCATGATGTCCCTCTTCAAAGACTGGTCTCTCCCTTCAACATGTCCAAAGTATGTCAGTCGAAGCTTCAGAATCCTTGCTTCCAAGGAGCAGCCTGGCTTCACCCTCTCTAGGACAAACCTGTTCATTCTCTTAGCAGTCCATTCAATACTCTTCTCCAACACTACAACTCAATGACATCAATTCTCCTTCTATCATCCCTAGATATTGTCTAGCTTTCCGATGCATAGTAAGTGATTGCAAAGACCATGGCCTATATCAAGCACACCTTTGACGCCAGACTACTTGAAGTACAGGCTGGGTTTAGAAGAGGCAATGGTACTAGGAATATTGTACTCATGTTAGATGGATCTTGGCTGAAAGCAGAGAATACCAGAGGAATGTCTATCTGTTTAATTGACTATGCAAAGGTGTTTGACTGTATGGACGACAACAAACTGTGGCTAACTCTGAGAAGAATGGGAAACCTATACTTGGACCAGGAGGCAGTCATCAGAACAGAGTAAAGGAACACTGCATGGTTCAAAATTGGGAAGGGTGTACATCAGGGTTGTGTCCTATCTCATACCTTTTCAATCTATAATGCAGAATAGATTGTCTGGGAGGCGTGCTGTATGAGGAGAAGTGTGGCATCAGGATTAGAGAAAGACTCATCAACAACCTGTGTTATGCAGATGACACAGTCCTGCTTGCTGAAATTGAGGAGCCACTATTATCCCCATTATTTATAGAAAGAAAAAGATCCAACAAAGTATCTTACCCAAAGGGGATATCTTCGTTTTTAGTGCTACTGTAACAAGAAAATATCACAAGTGGTTGTTGTATGGTGTCATCATGTCAACTTCAAATCATAGTGACCCTCAAACAACAGCTTGAAAGACCTTGCCCTATCCTGGGCCAATCTCTATGCTAAAGTTCATTGTAAAAGAACAGAAATTTCTTCTCTCTCTCTCTCTCTCCCCCCTTCCCTCCTTCAGGGAATGATCCTTATCTCTCATTTCTGTGCTTTTGGTTTTTCCTGGCTGCTTGTAGATGTCTCTTCACATGGCAGCGTGTGTGTGTGTGTGTGTGTGCACATGCGCGTGCCTGCATATGACTGTGTCTTTTAGTGTCTATGCATGTTGCCAGGAGGGACCAGTCAGTCTTCAGAGACAGATACTGTGCTTGGAAGGGTGGAGGGACAGTGCAGGAGAAAACCCTGGATGAGATGGAATGACACATTACCTAAGGTAAATGAGTGTGTCAGAGACAGTGAGATTGACTCAGGATAGGGCAGAGTTCAGCGTTGTGGTTGACATAAAAGCACATAACAGTAACAACAGCAACTGCCTATTACAAGACATAATTCAGAAGGTATCAGATTTGGATCCACTCTATTTTGGTTATGACCTTGTTTGGCCAAACTTACGGCAAAAGAAAAATTATATTTACAAACTATGACACTCCATCAGGTTTCTGAGACTGTAAATCTTAATGGGAAGGGGAGGGAGACCTATTTATCTTTCTGACAAGAAGCCACAGGTGGTTTCAAACCACCAAACTTGTCTTTTGATTAGCAGCACAACTCAATAAGGGCCGTGCCACCAGAGCTCTGATAATCACAAATACTTATGCTCCTATGTGTTTTTGAGTCGGAACCAACCCCTAGCTGGCCTTCCAACATGTTTTCAGAGGCAGCAAATCACTCCAAAGGAGATTGCTCATCCTTCCTCCTCAGAATATCTGATGAATTTGAACTGCATACCTTTGGGATTGCATCACAGCATCTTACCACAAGGTACAGGAGCTTGAAATTCAACATGTATTTGGTATTGAGGGAGATTTAGTCCTTAACACAGAAGCTGGTGGTTTCCAAATCTCTCCCCCTTTTACTTCAAAAAAGGAAAGTGATTGTAAGTGTACAATGGAATGAAGCAAGCTGGGGTGGGTGCTCAGAACAATGGCATGCCTGGTGCTCCAAGTTTATAACCACACAACCATGCAATTAATTTCCCTCTCTCATTGTTTGCTTTTATTTCAAATACAATGTGTGTAAAGAAAAATGTAGCTACATTGGATTCTTTGGTCCCTATGGGCTTCCTTTCAATTCTTTCAGGTCTAGACAAAAGAATAAGGGCAAAATTAACTTGTATTGACTTTATTCTTTAGCAGAAGTGTGAGGCTGAGTATAGGGGCACAACAAGGAGATTGGGAGAAGACTTAAGGTGGAAGGTCAGTGGTGCTCCTGTTCTCAGCAGAAGCTCTGTCCACACACCGCGTCCCATACCCATTCTCTTGCCTTTTCCTGGCCTGCTGTCCAGTCATTAGTAGATCAGACTTGGAACTGTGGTCAAGGTATGATAGCTGTTTAGAGCTTAGACTCTTGGCCCTGAAGTGGGGCCTGGAAGTACCGTGGAGTTCACACAATCAGCTATTCTGTAGCCAACCTCACCACGCCTGCCACTGGAGCCACAGGTGGTCAGGGAGTTCTGTGGGATCCTCATACCACCCCCTAGGCAGCCATCTTTCCAACGCCCGTGCTTGGATGTGCCAGGATGCTCCCACCTGACTTGCCCTGATTTTTACCACACTTGAGTTTGTCCAGACTGTGTCTTGTGACACTTCCTGAAGAAACAGAAATAGAGCCGTGCTCTGTAGTTTCCAGCAGTTCCCTGTAGTTGGTTTGTTAGATTGTGTAGCAATTAGTCGATAAAAGATGTCAAATGATTGGCCTTGAATCGTGCCTTGGACAGGAACCCTTGATTTGCTTGGCTCACAGAAACTGCTTGTGTGCATCTCTTCCAAATTCCACAGCGTAATGAAAGTTTGAAATCAGAGGTGGTAGGAAACTTGCATGGAAGTAAGAAATTCTGCAAGTCAGAGGCACTTTTTCATTGTTACAGAATCTGTGTTTAAACATTCACCAGCACACTTGTTTCTTGCAAGACTGGAAGTCAGATTATTTTTTTATTTTAGTTTTTCAAGAAAAACAGCTTTTTCTAAGATATCTCTATTTTTCTTAAAGATTGGCACTTTTTTTTTTAAATACCAAAATCTGAGCTGGTCCAACAGAATATTTTTTGGGTTGTATTTGTGTCTGAAAATCTGACCACTTAACAGTTAAGAAGCAAAGATGCATCCATCTCCCCCTGCCTCTATATATATGATCTGCAAGCCTTTTTCATGGTGGCCATTCTAGAGGCCCACCGTGGTTCTGTGAATCAGGAGAGAACTACAGATTTTCCAAAGTCAAGGCTATTGGTGTTGGTTTTGGTTCTCTTCCATTTGTAAGAAATGACTCTGCTTATGCGTGCACAGTTGTTTGCTGTCTTACCTCTTCCACAGCAGCTGTTTAACTTCCAGAGTGTCTTCCTCCATGTTCCTCTTCTCTTTCCTGCTCTCCTCTGATATTTCAGCTCACCTTTTTTCTACCTCTTTCATCTTCTCTTTGTGACCTTTTGTGCCCCATCTCCTGGCTGCCTGTCCTGGGTTTCAGAAGCTGGCTTTTCCCCGCTCCCACCAGCCAGGCTGCACTCCTGCTGTGGGGCAGCCATCACAGGAGTTCACGGCCATCCATCCATCACGGACAGCTGCACAGAGCTGTACGAGTGTGGGGCTCAGTGCTGTGGAGTGCCGGAGGGCTGTCTTGGAGTGTTCCCTCCCTGCAAGGTGTAACAAACAGGGCCAGGGCCGGCATAGAACGTGAATTGAGTTCCAGC